CCCAGGCGGATCTCGAACCCACGGGCTCAGGCAATCACTCACCTCAGCCTCCCAAAGGCGCGGGATTACAGGCTGAGCCACTGAGCCCAGCTTATCATTATTATTATTATTTTAGTTGGAGTCTCACTCTGTTACCCAGGCTGGAGTGCAGTGGCATGCTCATGGCCACAGCCTCGACTTGCGGGGCTCAGGTGATCCTTCCGCCTCAGCCTTTCTTTTTTTTTTGAGTTGGAGTCTCACTCTGTCACCCACCTTAGCTTTTCAAGTAGCTGGAACCACCGGCATGCACTACCACGCCCGCCTAATTTTTTGAGTTGTAAAGGTGAGGTCTTGCCATGTTGCTCAGGCTAGTCTCAAACTCCTGAGCTCAGGCAATCCTCTCGCCTCCATTTCCCAAAGTGTTGGAATTACAGGCGTGAGCCACCATGCCCTTATTTTATTTTTTGAGACAGGGTCTCATTCTGTCACCCAGGCTGGAGTACAGTGGCACTATCATGGCTCACTGCCACCTCAAACTCCTGGGCTCAAGCAATCTTCCCACCTCTGCCTCCCAAGTAGCTGGGACTACAGGAACATGCCACCATATCTGGATAATTTTTTGATATTTTTGTAGGGAGGGGTCTTGCTATGTTGCCTAGGCTTGAACTCTGGGCTCAAGCAATCCTCCCACCTCAACCTCCCAAAGTCCTGGGATTACAGGTATGAGCCATCATGCCCGACCCAAATCTCTTGATTTTAAATCTTGCAACCAAAGCAAAACCTGTGCAGTCTAACCCTGTCAGGACCAAATAAAACACATCTGCCAACTAGATAGAGCCCATGAAGCCCTGCTTCGTAGTCTTGACCATAGTTGTCCAAACATATTCAGGATTGCAACAGAAGTTGGCTACTGCCCATCTCAAATTTCTCTTTCTTTCTCTTTTCCCAATGCTTGAGCATCCCTGCCTGCCTTGTCCTTACTCCCAGCCCTCTCTGTTGTGTTTGTAGACAGCTGTAAATTTATTCTATCCTCTCCCCCAGTCTAATACATCGTAAAGACTTCATTTGACAAGTGCTGTTCCTCTCGGGGGTATTTTGCATGGAAAGATTCAGAGATTGTTCAGATCTAGAGGAACTGTAGTGGACATCTGTGTTGCTTACAAAGCAGCCATTTCTGTACTTTCTTTTTTTTTATTTTTTTATTTTTATTTTTTGAGTTGGAGTCTCACTTGGTTGCCCAGACTGGAGTGCAGTAGCCGCTCCCGGCCACCGCAGCCTCGACCTGCTGGCCTCCGGCGATCCTTC